TATGGCAATAACATAGTGCAAATATGGCAATCATAGCAATTCTATCACCAATTTATCATATATTTCGATGCAAGCTTTTGATATCTCAACATAATTCAAATTTAAGTATTGCACTCATAGCATCAATTCATATATTTCTCATTTAAATATGGCACTCATAGTATCAATTCATATATTTCTCCCCCTTTGTCATCAACAAAAAGGAGAACGATATAAGCAAATTTTAACTTGGTTTATGTCATTTTTTAACAATGAGGGATAGGATACCAATTATATAAATATCTTAAGGAAAACATGACATGGAGATAACTTTCATTACTTCTTCCTCTTTATTTGTTATTATCTTTTTGCATGAAGGAGAAAAGTCATTTGTGACCTTACCCGAAGTTAAAATTGATAATATATTAAAGCACGCTTCATTTTTACAAGGATCAAGATATGTGTGTGAATCAAATCCTTACACATAAAACTATTTCTCAAAAGATATAAGAAGGAATCATCAAATCCATTTCTCGAAAGATATTTTTCACATGATAAGTCTATGAGAGATGCATTTGCTAGTTGATTCCATATGTCAAAAATCAATAATGTGAATCAAACTCGATATGACATATGTTTATTAAGTCCGGAAGAGAATAATGTATCGAGAAAATCCAATTGTTAGGATCAAGAAGATCCGAAAATAAAATTTAATACTTTCATGCATTCGGACAAGGTTTTGCTATAGATTTTCAGATTCAATTATGAAGATAAAACATGCTTATTATCATGGAAATTTTTGTATCCAAAACACATTATTTTCAACATGTAATTAAGGCATTTAATTGTGTAAATTCATCATGGCAATTAAATGATTTGATCATTAAATCAAAAAAGTTCAAAAAATAATCTTAACAAATTCATGCATTCGGACATATTAACATTCCTAATTCTCTTCTAATGAAATCAAATTGTTCTTCACTTAGAGGTTTTGTAAAAATATCAGCTAGTTGATGCTTAGTATCATTGAACTCTATGATTACATCATGATTAGTGACATGATCTCGTATAAAGTGATGTCTGATATCAATATGTTTTGTTCTTGAGTGTTGAATGGGATTCTTTGTTAAACATATTACACTTGTGTTATCATATTTAATGGGAATGTTTTTAAAATGGACTTTATAATCTTCTAAGGTGTTTTTCATCCATATTGTGCACTGCATGCACTAACTGTAATATACTCAGCTTCGGTTGTTGATAGTGCAACCGAGTTTTGTTTCTTAGATGACCAAGAAATAAGGGAATGTCCCAAAAATTGATATGTTCCTGATGTGCTTTTTCTATCTAGTCTACACCTAGCAAAATTCGCATCAGCATAAGCAATTAACTCAAAATTCTTGGTTTTTGGATACCATGTTAGGATCAAGAGCACTAAGAAGGGGGGGGGGGGTGAATTAGTGCAGCGGAAATCTTTCACAATAAAAAAAAACGTTCGAACGATAAAAGTGATTTCGGTGTGAAAGCCGATTCTAAGATTACTTTAACTTAAGATCAAGCGAGATGACGTTAAAGTAAATCTATGAAGGTAGCTTACAGTTATGATGAAAATCAGAATATAAGCGCAAATTGAAATACGACGTTCGTACGATAAAAGCGATTTTGGTATGAAAGCCGATTTGTAAACCACTTTAACTTGAGATGAAGCGAGATGCAGCTAAAGCAAAGATATAAAGGCAGTTCACAGTTATGAGGGAAATCAGAACGTAAGCGCAAACTGAAATATGATGTTCATACGATAAAACTGATTTGCGTCTAAACGCCGATTCGGAAAGCACTAAACTTTGAAACACGTTCGTAAAAGGACAGAAGGCAGTAAGCTATTGACGAGGTTTGCAGTAAAGATAAGATGCTCAAAGTAAATGCAAACCGAGATTTAGAATGGTTCGGTCAATCTTAACCTACTCCACTTTTGGCTTCCTCCACCGACGAGAATCAAGCATCAAGCCGAAAGAATCGGGGGATACAATGAAGGTTCAAACGATACGTTGGAAGCTCACCGGGAGTTTGTCGAAAGCTCGTCGGAAGATTGTCTAGAGTGCGTCGGAAGTTTCGCTGGGAGTTCGAATGAACAATTGATGTGTCAAACAACTAGGATTGTTTGCATTATAATTGTTTAGCCTTAATTATCGTAGTTAGGGTTTCAATTTTAGTTAGTTTTGGGAGAAATCCTCCTAACTCAAATACGGGCCAACTGGGCCCAAATCAAGATTGAATTGGGCCGAATGGATGGCCCATTCATCCACTTGGAGCCATCAAGCAGTTTGGGCGATGGTACCATTAGCAGTTAATACTATCAAGCGATGGTACCACCTAGTAATAGCGATGGCACCACCAATACCTCGGAAACCGGGTATAAGATACTTTTTTGCTCCATTTTTTAAGCCATTGAGGCTTATAAATATCCCACTCTTTCCTACATGAAAGAACACAAAAGTATGAATAAAAGTCTTAAAATTTTGAGTTGTAAAAGTGTTTGAAAAAGTGCTAAGTATTCTCCTCCTCCTTCTTTAGTTTTGTGATTATTATAAGAAAGGTGTGAGGCTTGTAAATGTTATCTCCTAAACTTGTGAAAAGGAAAAAAGAATTGTAAGAGGGTAGTTGGTCTTCACCCATTGAAGGAAGATCGTTAGTGGACATCGGTGGCCTCAACGGAGGAGGAATCGGGAGTGGACGTAGGTCACGACGACCGAACTATAATAAAATTGGTGTGCCTTCTCTTCATTACCTTTTTCCTTTATATTGCTTACTGATTTGGCTACTCACTCCACTTCACACTTTCTCTAAGTTCAAACGTATTTCCGATACTATTTTATCAAAATGATTTTTCTAAATACTCAACATTTTTACGTAAGCACTAATTCACCTCCCTCTTAGTGTCGATTTCGATCCTAACAAAGGTAAATCATATACTAACAAGATAGGTCCGAAAAAATTTGGAGTAAAAGATTTATTCCACGAGTTATTTTAAATAAACTCATAGACTAACACATGATTTTATGTAATCTTATGAAGGCAGATTATTTAGATAATGGAGTATTGGATATCCATGTGTCTTTCAATAAGTTTGTGTTATGTCCATTACTAATGATTTTATAAAAGCTATCTTTGATAGAGTCTTAGGAGGTTACATATGGATTTCCAATGGCAAGAGGAGTTATTGTATGTAATTTTCCACGGATGGAGAGGTCATCCTAGAAGTTTGAATTTGTTTCAGTTAGAGGATTGATTCCAGAAGAAATTCATAGAAAACTTGATCATCCGATTAGTAGTTTTGTCAATGGCATTTATGAGTATGTGTAATGTAATATAATTAATGATTGAATTGATAAGAAACTATTTTGTCAGCCTAAGATAACAAATCTTTCTACCATCCCTGAATTTTATTGAGACATTTGTCAATGATAAAATTTTAATAGGTGTCTAGTATGTCTACTGTAAGTCCCTAAACAGCTGATGAGCCATCTACCCTCGCTAATGTGGTACTTAAAGTGCGATGCTTTGGATAAAATATGTTGAATTTCAATTTATTAATTTGAAGCCAATGATTTTGACTTATTTATCTACAGCTTTATGAGGTGTGGTTGAGGGCACTTTTATCCAACTAAAAAGAAGTAAGAACGTTTTCTGGAAAAAAGAAAATTCAACATGGTTTTGAAAACTGTTTCTCCTGAAATAATGACAGAATGTTTTTACTTACTAGGTATAAACTAAAAAATAATGACTTTTATAATGAAATCATTCAAACATTATGATAGAGAAGACAAGCATGTTTCTCCTGTCTTATATTATTGCTATACTAATTTATTACCAACTTCTATACTAAAGAAAAATCATATTTAATTGCAAGAAGCTAGAGAAATTTCTAAACTTAATAATATATACTGTTTCCATTGAGATATCCTAGTGTATTATTACAGAAATAATAGACCTTAATGTACATCATTCAATGTAATAAAAAATTTTAAATTTTTTTATAAAAAAATAATATATGCCATAGTACTTCGTTGGTCATGTCATTGAAATTTCCCGATATATTTCTATCAACCGCAAGTATTTAAAATAGATGATTCAGTATACAAAACTCCTGCCAGTATAACATCGGAAAGGATAATTGTACACACTTTGATTGTAAAAGAACAATTTGATTGTGACACCAAGATTCATCCTCCAATGAAACTGCTAAGTTATCAAAAAGAAGACGGAGAGAGTAAACTCTGCAATGTTGAAGTGGAACACTCATTTGTTTCTTTCCTTAGACCAAGATGCCCAGAAAGTTTCTATCATTGGTAGCAACCACTAAATTCTTGGTCAAACATGGTTCAAATCGGATGCCTTTCAAAGTTATAATCTATTCAGCAACCAATTTAAAGGAGAAGCCATTTATAAAAGTATTATAAAGATGCAGATAGGGAAGCCAGTTACCTCTGGAACAGCACCAGGAGCAAGATCTAGATTACAGTCCACTAAGCCATAACGAAAAGCAATTTAGTTTTAAATAAAAATTAGATCCGCTTTGATTTCAGAGTGAGATGCAGAAGAAACTGGAACAGTGGGTCCTTGGGAACAACAGTGACAACCAGAAGCTGCAAGCAAACAACTGAGCAAGCATACGGGAAGTCGTGATTTGTTCCAGACACAAGGAATTCTCACTGTATCCGATTCAAGGCAGATGAGAGAGGAAGCAACTCGCTGCTGCATCATGTGCACATTGCTGCTCCTACAACAGCATTTTTCTCACATTTTCTATGCATGAGCCAAATTGTTTCCAGAATCAAAATAGAATAGATAAGAAGTCAACCAGAAGCTTAACTGGAAAAAAATAATTGAATGGCATACTTTTATTATTTCAACAACCCATTGCATCTTTCTAGTTCCTCCATCTTAGTATTTGAGCTGTAGCAATGAGTCCAAAACCGGGTTTGCCCCTCAAAAAGTTAGGTGCCTCTTCCCGGTGTGCAAATCTCAAACTGCCACAAAAGAACTCTGAATCTAGAAAATAACAGAACTACTAACCAAACGGAACCTTCATTTATGGCTGCAAGGAACGACAATAATTGTTTCTCCTCCTAGTAATCTTGTTCTCTAACCTGTAAAATTATGATTAGTGTTAGGTATGGGAATCCAATCGAGCAAAGAATGAAATCAACATGGGGAAAAGTCCAAAGATAGTACTGATACTAACTGTGAGACAGAGGGGGATGGTTTGATTCAGTGCTACCAACTCATGGCCTAGTTTTTAACTAAATGGATATAGTAAACAATGAGATAGATCACACTTCTGCTCAACCATGAATTTTGTGTTACAAACAAGTCATACCAAGTGTACTTGAAAAGATCCCTACTCATTTTTTGAGTCCTTGTATTGATAATTCTGGTGAATTTAGGATACCAAGGAACAACAGAGTTTCACGGCACTTTCCTGTGCTTGAAGGAGAAACTGCAATCATTGAACTTGAATGTTGGTTTTGAAGATGAGCCTCGATGATGTAGACTACACGAATGAATTCTTGATCAGTTCATTTCAACAAGAAAAAGAATTTATAAACAGGGGAATCATCAACATGAGCTGCACAAAAAAAAAAGGAAAAAATGATAAACCAATCAGAAGAAATTATGCCTAGGGAACAATGTATTGCAATTACGCTGCCAATTTAGTTCCCTTGTAGATGGTAGGATGTAAAAGTAGTGGCTTCTGACATACCCACCAGCATTTTATCTTCAGAATAAATTAAGATGAACAAGAATATTTTCAACTAAACAGTTCTGGCATAACTAATATCAGATTACAACATCCAATGTAATGGAAATAATATACCTTCAATATTCACAAGAGATGGACTCCAATATATACAAGATGTCAGATACATTCTTTCTTGATTACATCAACTAGCTTAAGTTCAGCTGACTTCAGGTAAAATTTTGCCCAAAAATGATATCAAATTTTAGCGTTCAACAGGTTAAAACTGTCAAATGTCAGTCATATTAAATATACCTGACAAGATTGCATGAGTTTGGTGGAGTCAACATTAATTTTGTGGAAGCAATGGCAGACTGTTTGCAGGAAATACTGCAGCAGGTGACCCTCGGGCCTTTTTCTTTAACTGCTCTAAAAGGCGGTGAGCTTCTCTAGTTTCATCCTTGGCACTGGGCCCATGGTTTTCCCATGCATCTATTACGCATTGTTGGACCTCCATTGCAAGAGCATAACTGCAATGGAATATTATTTTTTCCATGATTTAGATAATAGATACCTTGCTCCTAGAGTGTTAAAAGTAACAATAGATAATGGTAAAGCCCTTCTCTGAAAGACAAAAAAAGTATTTCCCACTCAAAGAGGTATTGCATTCATAGAAAATGTCATTAAAAATTACAAGTAGAACATGACAATAGTAAGAAAATCATAAATCCAACTAAAAAGCCAGTTCTATGCATTTTGCCAGGAGGGTAAATGCCAGTTTGGAAACAAACTACCAACTGAACCACATTGTCTGAAGGAAACCAAATTTTCAAAAACTAGAACTTTATTCATCATGTATAATCTCTTTGTCAGATTAAAATAATCTTTTAAAATTTAGTACAAGATCACTACTAAGCACAATCAGTTGCTGAAGGTATCATATACTTTCATGGGACAGGGAAAATAACTTTAAAAAATGGGGAACTATAAAATCCAATCACTTCTTTGATAGAGCTACAACTTTTATTCTCCTTGACCGGAAATAGAACCTTTTCTCCTTTCTCCCATCCTTCTAAAATTCTACTTCCTCACTCACCTGAATCTTGTACATATATGAATGTGCTATATGTATAGCAGTAATGCAGATCCATGCATACTGTTGTTTGTGCATCATAGCACTGATGGTTTATGCATTATTTAGTGTGTTTTTGCTCATTAGTGAATGTATTTTATAAAAACAAAATAGTTAATTATGTGATAACAAGATGGACTAAAAGTTTTAAATGAAAAAGACATGGACTAAAAATTATAGTCCGGAACAACAAGGGACTGGAGTCATCAGACCTCATTTCCTGTCAGAATTAAATGGTTCAGTCTTTCTTGTAGTATATTTTAATGCAAAATCTTGCAGTTAAATTATAAGATGGACAAGTTATATAGTATACAATATTCATCTAAAGGTTGCTTGGGTTAAGATAAGCTAACTTATATTGTAAGTAATAATTATTTTGCTTGACACCAGGACAAGAATATTTTAGGAGTAGAATGGTCAACCGACAAGATGCATCATGTCAACCAACCAATTTCTTACTTGCAAAAGCTACCCCCTAAGGCCCGTGGGACCCCGAGCCATCAACCCTAGCGTTGCTTCTGCCTCCGCTGTAGACATAGCAGACTGAGGCTTCCTCTATCACTGACGGACTGGTCTAACGACCTAGCTAGAGCCTGTAGCTTCCTTCCGCTGTCACTCTGTGTAGTTCCTTCCACCATCAAGGGAGAGGACCATAGGTTCCTCTACCATCGACGGACACCTCTGAAGCTTCCTCCGCTCGCGACGTTGCTGTTCGTAGCTTCCGCCACTACCATTGCTGCTACCTGCAGCTTTCACCGATGTTGCTGTTGTAGGGAAATCTAGGGGCGACATCACATGCATAGCGAAAGAACATAAAAACAAAATCCCCAAATTTCCCATCGATGTGTTCGTTGTCGTGTGAAAATTGATGCGCAAAAACCACGAAACTTAAAACTGTGTATATTAAATATTGTATTAAATAGGGAGATCATATATCCTTGAATCCATACAAATGTCTAGGAGAGGGTGAAGGAGGTCAAACGTCCTCCTCTCTAGCGATGATCCACATAGCAAAGCTGCGACGATGCTCCTCAAGTCTCCAGGCCTGCTATCTAAGGAGGAGAGGGGAAAAGGAAAATAGGAGAGGCCAACCAAGAGAGACTCTAGCCTATGAACCATTAGTTCCCTCCTATTTATAGAGGTTCTCTATCAACTTAACCCTAATAGATCCTACCCTATTGGGTATTGGATCTCCATCCAACTACACAAGCCTCTTAGATTAGTAGATCTCTGTAAAATAATCTCTCATTGACTCTTATTAGTTCTCATCCGTAGGATCCAATAATTCAGTAGTTTATTGAATATCCAATAAGATAAGAGCTCTGGCGAATATCTCATATTCAAACATCTACTCATCACAACGCTTACCATATGTGTATGACCCTCTAGGCCCAATATCGAAGTGGTCGTAAGTCATACCTATCAGAACTCCTTCTGGCTCAGTGAATTATTATCTTCATAATAATTTACTCGACTTATCGACTGCGAACGTACTAGGCCACTACGCCGTAGTCCCCAGACGATACAAGGGAATCTAATTCATTGGACTTGTTTGTCCTCAGTTACCGTGTACCTATAGTCATTCATCCATCTAATATCCCAAAGACCGTATACCGGGCATAGTGCTGTTAGACCCATACGATTTCTGCTCGAGTCTCGCTCTAATCGGATTCTCCCGGAGAACTCTTTCTCTCTCAATCCGAATGACCTTGGCTAGAGATTTGTCTGAGCAAGAACACATGAGATATTCCTCTCATGACACCGAGAGTGGATAATCCTCTATTGACACTCAATAGTCCTCGTAAAGTTGGCTACCACTCCCGATGACCGACTATGCTAGATCTAAAACCTCCAAACCTATAAGTCCGATATTAAAGAGTGGAGTACTCATACAGGACATTCTTTGTGTCTCAAGTCTAAGGACCAGATACACCACTGGGACTGCGGAATCGCTATCTGACAATAAGGCATCATCAACCATCCAACATTCCGTAAGCGGATCAATCAGTGAACTCATTCTCTAATGAGCACCTATACTGTGTATCCTTAGTGTCCCCACACGAGGGGGATAATGTCCCCACACGAGCAGCTATGAGACCAGTTGTATCCATCGTATAGACGGGTATACAGCACACTAGTCTGTTCGGGTATACAGCAACTATTCTGTCACCACTGTTGCTGCTGCCCGTAACTTCCTTCGCTACCGCGACTATCATCCGCAGCTTCCTCCGCCACTGCTACTGTCATTCGCAGCTTCCTTCGTCACCATTGCCTTCTCCTTCCCCACTTTCTATTGTCGATGACACTTTTCTCTCCCTCTGCTATTGTTAACTATTCTTTTCTCCTCCGCTAACTACTGTTAATAGTAAATAATATATCGTTACTAGTAAATTGTTAACTACTGTACAAAAACTTTTAAATTTAATGTCATATTTTTATTTATATAATCATATTTATCAATTATATTATATATTTTTTATATTAATATTTCATAGCATTTCGCTTCGCTCGGGTGAGTGCCTTGTGCTTCAGGCATTTTAGTACTTTAGCGCTTTTTAAATCACTGATACAAGAATGATGTAGAGGTTATTCTTGATGACCACCGTGTTACATCTACTCCAGCTTCCGATGCCACTTGAATTATTTGGAAGAATTTCATGACTTTGCACCGGATTATTGGACCAGAACTTTACAAATCACTCTTCGGGAAGAATAATAAAGAACCACCTAGCTTTATAAAGGATTTTAAAAAAAATTATTCTAGGTAAAGAAATCAATAAAAAGTCATCAATTAGTTGGTCTAAAAACTCTAATAATTATATGAAAAATTGAAGAGTCTTTTGGCCTTTGTAGGTGTTAACCTTGGGACTCTACTTTTGTATTAAGTGCACTATTTTTTCTCAATTGTAATAAATTGTTTTAAATCTGTTTAAGTCTCCTATAAGTCACATTTGGGGTTTCTAAAAGGCATACAAATTCTCTAGGAGGTTACTATTAAGAATCAACGCGCACATTGATTATATACTAAGGCTCCAAAACCCCTATAAATAGTGAAAGGATGAGACACTTCAGATTTGAATGAACAAAGAATTGTCATTTCTCTCTTGTCGTCTCTTTCTCTCCTCTCTAATCTATAATCTCACTCCTCTCTTTCTCTCTTCTTCTTCACCCTATATAACATCAAGAAGTCTAATATCATGAACATTAAAAAAATCAACATTTCAACATGCAGCAGAGATTACAAAACCAATTAAGTCCACCTAAAAGTGATGAAAGTGTACATATTGAATAAATCACAGCCTCCGGTTCCTTGATGCTTCTAAAACCTTTTACAAGTATGCTAAAGAAGGTTCTTCTTATCCAGCTTTATATATACAATATGATTTTTCCAAGAGAAATATATGTCTATAACCTTTCCCATGAGGTTTGTAATGCATGATTTACCAATTTGACAAAATTAGTAGGAAGTAAGAACATTTTAGTAACAAGTGTTGAATCTCGGATTTTGATGATGAAGTCAATTGTCATTTGTTGTCTAATCTATGTGTTGAGATAAGTGTGCAGGATTAACTACGATGAAAGATAGACAAGCAGCAGGAGTTGCG